CAGCTTCCTCCTTTCTGTGATGAGGAACGTACAGGGTGTCCATCTGTGTGGGATCTCTGCATTCAAGGGTCTTGTTGGGGAAGGCGGGTGTCATGGTTTAGAGAGTGCTGGTGTGGGTGAGCTGGTGTCTGTCAGTTAAGTCATGACGGCCAGTTCTCCATCTTACAGTGTTACTTTGTGAAAGCACTCACAAAGACAATTTAAACTTATTTAGGAAAAGAAACACAGGTGAAGGATAGGGTTCATACAAGACCAAAGGACAGTCATGGCACCACACCAACCCTTCACCCCACATCTCCTTCCTCTCTCCAGAGACAATCTGAGATTTCCCATTTGTTGCTTGATGAGAGTCAGCATATACAACCCTGTAAGTTTTTGTAATGGCAGACCCAGTACACTCCACCTGCCCTGCCATGCAGCTTGCCTCCTTGAAATGTATCTTGGAGGCCATTTTATGTCAGCACACAAGGCATTGCTGTCATCCTCCAAGCTTTTCCTCTGCCTGCTGAGATGTTCTGAAGCACTTTCTGGTCTGGCTGCCACACATGGCTGCACAAATGAACCAGGACACTGGAATCAACTCCTAGAAGGTATTTGGACATAGCCGTCTGAGTGGAGTTTGGTAGCTGGTGCCCACTGCTTCCCAAAGAGGATGCGGCCATCTCAGCCTTCCTGGGCTCCTTCTCTGCCCCTCACTAACATGTCACTCTGTCACAATTGGTCTTTGGTCATTAAACATGTACACAAGATGTCCTTTTTTTTTTACTGTTCCAGACACAACATCCAGTCACGGCTATACTCCCAGGCACACGTGTGTGTACAGACAAAGCTACAGATAACACAGGCACACACGTGCCTCTTGGAAGCTCTGGCCAGTGTCACTTGTCACTGTGCACTTGTCACTGTGCACGTGGTGTCTTGGTTTTTATCTGTCTTTCCTCACATAAAGACAAACAGCTGTGCTTGTGAGTAAAGGCCACTTCGAAGCCCATGAAGACCTGTAGAGAAGTCAGGCCACGGAATAAAGGGTGACTATATACTCGGGGCAGTGGGGGGTGATGGAAAGAAGGGGTTCAGGGTGCAGCTCATGACTGCAGAAAGGAGGGTTTGGTATTCTTGTGGGAAAACTGCAGCCAAAGGCTCAGGGAATGAGAGAGAGAGAGAGAAGGAGAGCATTCCTCACGGTCAGCAGCATGTACTCTGATCTCCACCTGTACCCACGAACTGGCAACCACACTGGTCCCTCACATTCCTGTGGGTCTCCCCAACGTGTTGAATGAGGTGGCAAATAGAAGGCAGATTTTACATCCCAGTGGTGCAGAGAGGCTGCTGGAGGGACAGAAGGAGTGATGAGGTCCTGACGGGGAGCTGTTAAGGAGACAAGTTTTCTAAATCACCGGAAGGAGCTAATCTGAAGTAACTACCTAACTCACCATGATGTTTTGTCAGTGCATTCGAAGACAAACTGCCGCCTATGAACATACCCTGATGCCTTAACAGGAGTGAGGTGCCCACCAGAACCCGAAACACCCTCCAAAATTGCCCGGAGCCCAGGCCTTCTTTTCTCAAGTAGAACTTCAGTTTCTGGTCTCAGCAATGTTTGACCACTAAAATCACTTCAAAGAAGAAAAGAGTAAAAATTTGGAGAAACACAAAATTAGTGTTAGGGCCTTTTTGAAAAAAAAAAAAAAAGGGCCTTCAAAATGTTAAGAAAACGTGTGGGAAGGCAGGGGGCTTTTCAAAGCCAAGCCCCACTGTGTCTTTACCCTCTTCCTGAAGTCACATGGCCGCTCCTTAGTAGTTCCAAACCAGGGAAGTATTTTCCATTGATAGTGTTAAAACCAACCACCTTATTCAGCCAGCCGGTGTGTGAGGAAGGGCTGTTGGGCCCAGGGCCCTGCCATGTGCCACTTTTTCTTCCTCCTGTATTTCCCATAAATGGGGGTCTGGAGGCTGAGCCCATTTGCAGACTCTCCAGTGCTCTGGGGTTAGGGTTAGGGTTAGGGTGTGCCCAGTCTGCAAACCATAGGTCCACCATTGCTTCTCCTCAAAGCATTCAAAATCCCTCTTCCCCAGGTGGGTCTGCCCCGTGCAGCATTTGACTCAGTTGGGACTACATGCACACATACATAAATGGGTAGGTAGGTGTGTAATTTTTTTTTTTTTTAAGCCAAATGTGTCTAATGACCTTGAAGTGAAACTGCAGTCCATGCCCCTGGGCTCCACTTCCAGAGGCAGGCTGCCCAGAACTGTTACTCCTGCTGTTACCCTTACAGTCCCAAACCATGTGTTCCCCTTGGCTTTTCAATCCAGATATTATCTATTGATTTCCTCCTATGAAGGGTAAGGAGCTGACTAGACTCTCAGCCCTGTTGCAAGCACACTGTCCCTCTCACCCCCTCTCCTAGGATTGGGCCACAGAGTTTGGCAGTGTCTGTGTCCTGTTCCGTGAGTGAACACATTACGGTATTGTTGATAGGTGACATTATAGATATTTAGCTCTTCTGCATATCCCTTTGCTTTGAGCAAAGGTACTGAACCCTAGTGTTTTGGCTTAGTTTTCTGTGTATAATGGGTTGGATCTTCTCCTCTTAGATCTTCATTTTCCTTTTTCTTGTTTTTAAATCTTTTCCATTATATAATTTTTTTCCTTCCTATTTTTAATTTTTACTTTTTGTGTATGAGTGTATTGTGTGCATGTAAATAAGTGCACCATGTCGTGCAATGCCCGCAGAGGTCAGAAGATGGTGTTGGATCCCCTGGAACTGGAGTTACAGTTAGCTGCTATGTGGGTGCAGGGAATTGAACCCAGGTCCTCTGCAAGAGCGGCCAGTGCTCTGCTCTTCACCACTGAGCATCTCTCCAACTCCTGCTTACTCTTCTTAATCAAATATTCCAAGATCATTTTTGAATGATTTGGTATGTCTGTGGTGGTGTCTGATAGAAGATTGGTATATCAGTCATGGAGTCCTGACTCTCCCTGAGTTAAGAGTTAAGGAAAGTTGTTAGCTACCATGTGGGTGCTGGGAACCAAACCTGGGTCCTCTGCAAGAGCAGCCAGTGTTCTTAACTGCTGAGCCATCTTTCTAGTCCCACCTTCTGATTTTTTTAAGTGGTCACTTTAATGAGCTTACAAATAAAAGCATCACACAACTAGTTTCAGGCTGCCACTCCAACACTTGCCCGAACTATGCATCTCAGTGAACTGTACAGTTAGAAGGGGGGTTCTGAAGCATGGAGCTTCACTTAGGATTTTACACTTTATTTATAATCTATTACGTTGCTATTCACATATCCACCCCCCCCAAACAAATTAGCTTTGCATCCTCTTTCACAGGTGTCCTTTTACCTGCATTCTGTCCCTTCCCCACCACTTACTATTGCCCTCTCAGTCTCCTGGGTGGGTATAATGTTACACTATACCCACCCTTACACCTGTGTACAGATAAACCCTGAACCTTTCCATAGGAACTCAAAGAAATGTACACTAGGGTCTGCAGTACGTTTTTTTCTTTCTGAGTTGGGCTCACCTTTGCTTAACATACTTTCCAAGTCCCTCTATTTTCCTACAAATTTCATGCACAGCTGAATAATATTACATGTTGTGTATGTACCACATGCATTAATAAATCATTTATTCTTTAATCTGATCATGGACATCTAAGTTGGTTACACTTTCTTCCTGTCCTAAGCAGAGCAGCAATAAACATGGATGTGCAAATATCTCTATAGTAGGATAGTTGTGGGGTGGTACTTGCTGGAGTGGAATAGCTGGGTCTTTCTTATCCTACTGTTTTGTAAGAGCCACATCTTTAGTGGGCCTTTGAGAAAGAGAATGTGGAACATAATTTTCCTAAGAAAAATACTTACCTGAAACTGTCTCATTCTGTTTGCCTGCTTGACCAGAAAGTTGGACTGGGTATAAAAGACAAAGTTGGACTGAGGCTTCTGACAGCATTGGAAAAGTGCCTTCCAGCTTCTCATGGCCCCTTAGTGAACCCAACCCATCCAAATCTTGGGTTTTATTTCTGGGAAAAATTTTGAACTTTCATGTCCAAACTTTTCTGCTAGCATATCTGTAATTTTCAAGAGTTCTTTTCCAGTTCTCATTTGTGAATGGCAAGAGGCTCTTGCTATGTATACAGATAGATATACATGAATGTATGCATATCATTACCAAAGTGTGTTTGCATATGCATTTGAGTTTCAAATATATATAACGTGTGTTTTGGCTTTTTTTTTTTTTTTTTTTTTAAGAAAAGGGGCTCCTTTGCAGTCCAGGCTGGTTTCAAAGTCACTACATGACTGAGACTGGCCTCGAGCTCCTCCTGTCTCACCCTCTCAAGTGCTGGGATTTCAGGTCTGCACACTATACCCAGCAAATGTTTACATTTTTCCGCTGAAGACATAACAGTTCTTTGCTATGTATTTGTTCTCTAAGAGGAACTGGGAAATGGTAGGTTTCGTCTGTTCCTGTGGTGCTAGGGATTAAACCCAGGGCCTTATGTGGTCCCCAGCCCTGTGTGGTATTCGGAAGGTTACCATCCGCCCACCTTGGCTGCTGCCTTTGCAGGAGTGAAGGGCAAGAGGCTGAGCACTCACCACTTAGTATGTGGCGATTTCACCACCAATTCTTCTAGTGATAGTCTACTCGTGTCTGTCACTGAGTCTGAAGATACCAGGGTTGAACTTTTGTTCTCTCCAGGGCTCAGGGACTGACTCTAGTGTGTTTACAAACTTAGAAACACTGCCAAGACTTCCTGTGCCCAGTGAGTCCCTCAGCCCCCGCCTCCTGAGGCGACTCAGCCTTTGGGAAGACCTGTGGCACCGTGGACTTGCTTCTGAGCCCCACCCTGACCACCTGCCGGCCAGCTTACTTTCTGAGGATTACCACCAACAATAAACTCCCGTCTGGCCCAGGTTTGGAATCCTGCCGCATCCTGCCAGCCACACTTTCCTTTTCATTTAACGAGCTTTTGTCCCTTTTTAATAATTCTCCATCATTTGTTGGAACTTGTGAACAAAGTGGAGGGCAAAGCACTTGCACAGGGCTGGCTTCGGGGTGTGGCCAGAGAGCCTTCTGGGGCACAGAGCCTTCCCGGCAGACACAGCTTAGCAATGCGCGCCACCGCAGGAAAGCTACATAGTGAATTACAAGAGATGGTTAACCACCTTCCTTTGTTACCGTGTTTCTTCATCTTAGGGATGGAAAAGATACCAGATATAAAGGCTAAAGTGAAGGAGGGGCCACAGTCCCGGATGAGACCCCCTTGGCTGAGTCTGTGTCTAACCTTTGTCTCACTGCCTCAGGCTGGATGTCCTGGAGCGCACGGGAAGCTGTGGGCAGGGCTTCAAGGTGAAGGCTGGAGACTTTGCCTGTGGTTCCTGCTTGGGACCTAGGGCCTCTCAGTTTCCCTGGCTTATGTAGGATGAGAAGCATGGAGATTCTGGGACAGTGCCCTGTGGCGGCCGATTTGTGGGTAGTGTTAGCCTCAGAGCCATCTTAGAAACAACTGTCTAGCAGAAAACAAGTGTCCTCCAGTTCCCATGTCTGGGTTTGTCTTTGTCCATCTTATTAGAAGAAAAAGAATAACTCATTATTTCAAGCCAGCGTGAGGAGGGTGTGGTTGGCATTTCATGATTGTGTCCTGAGCCCCCGAACAGGTCCCAGAGCTGTTTATTCACTTAGCCAATGTTTACCAAGCTCCCACTGTGGACCAGGTGACACTGCACACTGGAGGCCCAGCAGGGACCGCCACAGGAGGCCTGCTGTCCTGGAGCTCGGGGTAAAGAGGATGTGAATAAACAGGATGTGGTGGTAAATTCGTGATGAACACGGAGGGGTGCCCAGCTGGGCAGGAGCTGGAGGTGGGTTAAGTGAGCATTAGCTGGGGGTTGTAGGGAGCAGGTGTGACCACAGAGTGTTGGGCAGGGAGGAGAGAGATGCCTGGATACTGGGAAGGTGAGTTCTCCAATATGGACAGATCCTCTCCTCCCATCCATGCAAGTGGGTCTTCAATCTCTCCAGGTTACCTCCTCCGGGCAAATGGGAGGTTCACAGCAGCTGCCCAAGGTCCACCTCTGTAAGTGGGAACAACTCTCCCCTCCCCTGCCCCAGCTCCCATCTGTGACACTAATGGTCGTCCATCGGCCCCTGCCAGGGCCCTAATGCAATTCCACCTGCGTCAGAAGCTCCAGCCAGAGCCTGAGTCACCCTGACTCCCGGGAGAGGACGCACTAAGCGGCCGCGCGTCACCAGCACACGCTGCTTCTCAGCACCGTGGCACCGCTGGGAGATTAAACACATTCGCTTAGAAAAAGGCAAAGAAATAACTTCTCTTGATAACCAGCATCTGGTAGTTAATGGGCCTCTGAGAGCGGTGTACAATTTAAACTTTTTATTAAAAAGAAAAAAAGCTCATTTACTCTCCTGGGAGTTGCACTATGAAATTATGAACTGCGCAGGTTTCGCCCCCCCTTTAAACGTGGCCTACACATACAATGAAGAACATTGATTTTGTTTTGTTTTGCTCAAAGCCAGGAGGACTTGACTCTTCTGCAGGGGAGAGTGCTCTTGGGTCCCTGTGCAAGGATTGAAGGGCCCGGGGGGGGTTCTGTCTGGGGCCTCTGCCCACCCCTCTTCTCCTTGCTGGAAGGGAAAGGGCTGTTAACCTTTCTTCCATACAGTGTCAGCTCTGAGCACAGGCGCCTGGAATAGCTCAGCTCAGCTGAGGCCAGCCGGAAGCACCTCTCTAATCCAGCATGCCTAACAAGGGGCTTGTGCCTGACAATGTAGTTCCAAATCACCTTCCTGCTTCCTGTTACAACAAGGACCCCCGCCCCCCACCTCTCTCCAGGAAGCCAAGATCTTTGGCTTTGAGGTCTGTGTCTTCCACTTACTGCATTACCTCAGGCTAGACCCCTTTGGGCCTTCAAGTCTCCATGTGGAAGATACAGAGGATAAACACCCCTTTCCAACTCAGCCTCCCCCACCCAGGAATGCCACACACCGCCTGTGACTTGAGTCAGCTGTTCTCTGTTGAGGCCCTTTCCACTAGGCACCTGGCACACCTGATCCCGTGGGGGAGATGCTGGTGTGGGCCCTGCCCTTTCCCTGGGAGCTAACCTCCTCCATAGGAACCAGAGGGCAAACATGGATAAAATGAGACCCTTTCAAACATCAATCGTCATGCATTATGAAGAACGTAAAACAGTGATGGGTGGAAGACGGAAAAGGGCTGGTGTTCTGGGATGCTAGTGCTGGGTCTCCTTGATGTTTGGTCTGAGAACTGAATGAAAAAGAGCCAAGCACTTACAAGCCTGGGGGTGAGGCTGGGGGAGGGGGAGACTGGGTCTGTGCAAAGGCCCCAAAACAGCTCAGATCAGAGCCCTCAAGAAACAGAAAGGCAGGTGCCGCCAGGGTGTGGGGAGCTCCAGCTGAACCTTGGAGGTGGCAGTGACCCCAGCTGGAGCGCTCTGAGCACAGAGGATGCATTGACAGTGCCAAGGGGGCAGGGAGGGCATGGCTGAGAGCGGCAGTTTGCCTTCGCTGGCTTTATTCTCCTTCACATGCTGTCTGGTAGACATTCCACTTCTTTTCTTTGGAACATAATCCCCTTGGTTGACTTTAATAACCAGTGAGAACATTTTTCAGGCTGTTTAATTTTATTAAAAGATTCAAATTTGATGATGAATGTTGGCCTGGTTGCTTCAAGCCTTGGATACAAGACTTGCTCAGCCATGGACGTGTTCTCAACATCCCCCCTCGTCATCCCCACAGAGACCCCCCCCCGACCCCACCACCGTGTATTCCAAGACCGTAAATAATCTAATTATGTCTTGTACTTTGGTAAATATGCCAGGAACACTCGTAGCTGTCTGAGGCCCACAGAGAATATTAACTTGGTGCTTTTTTTTTTTTTTTGAGGAGAATGGATAATAAGAGCAATCTCTGTTCTCCATGGACTGACTGAACCCCACAGTCTCAGGGAGGCAAAGGGCTTCCCTCTGCACACATCATTAGCTTCATATAGGATTGTTCAAGATCTGTGATAAGAGTTTGGAATGGGAGGAGGAAGTAGTCGGGAACAAGTGGCTCACAGTCCCGAAAACCCTTGAGCCCACCAGGACACCAGTTAATCTCACAATGTGCAGATGAGGCTCTGGGCCTATGAGCAGGGTCCCCACTGTGATGACAGCCCCCCTGAGCTGAGGGGAACACGACACTGGTGGAGGCCAGGCTTGCAGGGTCCAGCCTCCAAATGTTGTCATGTAGCCTAGTGGCCCTGGCCTCCCCCTGGAGTGGTCCCAGAGATGCATGGCGTGCCTTCCCCGTCTGTCAACAGCAGTGGATTCTGGAAGATGCGGGGCTAATTACAGAGCACATCCTGCTGCCGCTATCCTTAGTATTAATTAATTTCCAAAGACAGAAATGCGTTTTCCTCCGTGGACTCTACCCCCTGTGGCCAGCCCTGAGCTCAAGGACACGCTGCATGGGCACAGGAGACTCAGACGTCACAGTCTGCTGGGAGAGGCCAAAGTCTCAGCTCAGGCAGAGCCCTCTCTGCGAGCTCAGTGGCCTCAGAGGACTGGATTTATCCATGTACAGTGTTGCCAGCTTGAGGTCTGACTCGCAGAAGCACAGGCAGATGCAGAAAGATGCCAACAGTCAGAACTCAAGAAAGCCGACTGCCCCAGAGACAAGCCCTCTGCCAGAGAGCTGGGAAGTACTGACAGCCCGAAGCGGCATCTTTAATTCATGCCCGGCTGAGTTTGTATTGCTAAATTCAAATTAATGATCTCTACACCACAACCCAGACCGTGGCCGTGCGGCAGGCAGCACAGCTAAGCATAATCACAGGGCATCTTCTCCCTCTTGTATCAACATTCGGGTGGGGAAAGAGTAGTGAGACTTGGAGTGTCCCTGACTGGTACCTGCCAGCTAGATTCCAACCATCAGACAGGCTTACAACTAGGAGGAGGATTTTAGAAACATGACAGATTTTGCAGCCACATTGAAGCATGTGGTTTGTGACCCTGGTTTTTGGTGCTACTGAGCCCCATGAGATACAGGCTGAGCAAGAAGTGAAGATACAGGTACCTAAGATGGAATGAAGGAGAGCCGTCCTTCCCCGAGGTGCTGGGACAGTGCAGCAGATGGACATCTGAAGGGCCACCTGGGAGTCAAAGGCCTATGTCATAGCCACTCAAAGACGGCCAGTTTTTGAGCTAGGAGCAGTAGGGGGAGAGGGGGTACAGGAGGACATGGTCCCCACCCACTGGGGGGCTTTTGCAGTAGGGACCTGTACTGTGAGGGGCTGGGGGGGGCTGGGGCTTGCTCCCCACAGAGCACCAGGGGTGCCTGATAGGAGGTGGGCCGCTTCTCGGGAGTGTCAGGACTGGACCCGTCTGTGGGCCTCTGTCCAATAAAAAGCAGGCTCTGCCCACGGGGGTCTTGCTCCACTTTGAACAGTTCGTATTCTGTGTGTGGGAGCCTGATGCCCAGCGGTAGGCACCCATTGGTAGCGGTCACATCCCTCTCAGTGCCCACAGACCAGGCTCCTGGGCCCCCACAGCTGCTTGGCTTGGAGAAGTTGAGCATGGTTGTGGTGGCCTGGTCCATGGGGGTCACGTGGGCCCGTGTGACCTCAAACATCAGCTCTGTGCCCCCAAGGACCCTGGGGGATGGTGTACCCCTGGAATAATGGCCAACTGCATACACAGTGAAGGTGGGCTGGCGGCAGGCAGGGTCCGAGAAGTGGTGATAGTGCCCTTCCCAGGAGCGGCTGTGGTCATCGAAAGTGAAGAGGCGTGTGAGGAACAGCACGGCTGGCCTCACCTCGCAGCCCACGCTGATCCAGTGGCCACCCAGGCGCAGTGGCAGGGCTGGCTGGGGAGGCAGCACAGGTGGGTGGTGCTCATCTGAGCGGGCGATGAGAGTGCAGGTCAAACAGGGCCGGGTGTGGTGCTGCCGAAGGAGGAACAGTATGGTCAGGCAGAGGTAGGGGTATACCTACGATGGGCTCCCAAGGCAGGGCCGCATGGGTAGGCAGGTGAGAGCACTGTCTGGTTGCTTAGCCCTCTGCCTTCCTTGCCTCCACCAGGTTGACTTCCCTTTCTGTCCTTGACTCAACAAAAATTCCTTCCCCTGGGCCACTGCATATGCTCTCCTCCCTGTGGAAGGACCAGTGGGTCTTCTTCCTTTAGAGCTTAGTCCAGGGACGGCCTGGACTTTATAAAGCAGCCTCGGAGCCTGTCCCATTACCTCTTCCTCACAGACACATCCCTTCCGCCCCCTCTCGCTTCTCCTGCATTAGACTGGAAGGTCCAGGTGGCCCTGGACCTGCTCCCTAGGCCCCCAGCAAACACATACTTGCCGATGGACTGGGAAACTTGTTGAAGTCTAGGTGGGCCTTGTGTCTAGATTTAGAGTAAGTGCTTTCACCTAGTCTGCTCAGTCTTGAAACCAGATGGTTCAAGTTCACCTTCTTGGCTTCCCTTCACCATTTACAGAACATCCTAACCCACTGGGGTACATGCTGAACCCCTCTTGAAACTATTCCATGGAGGATGGTGAAAATCAGGGCCGGCAGGCCTGCCACGAGTGTCCAGACTTGAAGCTCAGCCCTGTAGAAACTTATCTGTTTCCCCACTCATGTGCTCCAAAACCTGACTGTAGTTTGCATGTGCCCTGCAGGGCAGAGGACTGAGGCTGCCGGTCTTTGGTTGTTCTTTTTACACACATATGTGTGTATATGTATGCATAGTTCACACATCCCTGCAGGTTCACGTGGGGGCTTGAGGTTGACATCTGGAGTCTTCCTTGATCGCTCTCCACCTTACTCTTTGAGGCAGAGTCTCTCTACTGAATCCCAGGCTTGCTGATAGGAGTAATCTAAAGGTGGCCAGCTTGTTGTGGGGATTCCCGTCTCTGCCTTCAGAGTGCTACATTCACAGGCAGGCTGCTATATCCACCTGGCGTTTACATGAGTTCTGGGGATCCAAACTCTAGTTAGTATCCGCACTGGCGCTACATTTCCTTTAAGTGTCTCCCTACCCTGCCCCCCATCTTTTTTGAGATAATTTTTCTCTATAGTACAAACTAACCTTAAACTTGCTTTGTAACTTGGGCTGGCCGCACACTCTTTGATTCTCCTACCTCCATCTCTCTGAAATGCTGGGATTACAGATATGCACGACCAAGCCTCACCTCCAGCATTATTTATAACACAGAAAACCAGCCACCCTGGAGTCCTGGGTTTAACAGGACCCCTCGGCTGTCCCCAGCCATGTGCTGGTTTCCTCTGCTTTGGCTTAAAGTAGTCCCAGCCTGGGCTCTCCTGAGGTAGGTTTACAGTAAAACACATCAACAGGAAACAGACAGTAAATCAAATTGCGTGGGAGTTATCAGTCTACACTTTGGAGTGAGAAGGCTGAGTAGAGTCCAGAAAGGAACCAGATACACTTTTTTTTTTTTTTTTCTTAAAGGCAGCTACTTCCCAGAAGTCCGTGTACAAACTCCTGCAACTCAGTGCCCTCGGAACAACCACTGCTCAGAGCTGATTTGAGAACCAGAAGACATTGCTGTTCCTGCTAGTCCGGAGGGAACCTTGGGACAGAGGTTCAAGCAGGACAGGCAAGGGGAGGCACTGTGAAATCCATTCTGTGATGTATTTTTGTACGAAAAAAGACAGAGAGATTTCCACAGATCACTGTTGGGCAAGCTTGATGCAACTGGTGTTGAGGAGTTTGGGTCAGGAAGGCAGCACTTGGCTTGCTGAAAGATTTTTTTTTTTTTGGATTGGTATACTTTCAGAGATCTTACTGTTAATATTTATTTCCATTAGGAACCCGAGCTTCTGTTTACATAATCCAGGACACCCCAGTTGCTTTGTTTCTGGGTATTATCTTCATTAGTAGTGTTATTTTGAGAGAGTCTTGCTATGTGGTCCATGCTGGCCTCGAATTCCTGGCGACAGTCTCTGCCTCGGCCTCCAGAAGGCTGAGCTAACAGGCATGCGGCATCATGCCTGGCTGTCTGGGAGGTTTTGACCTGGAGGACTTGAAGGCACTTTGAAATGGTTGTAATGGCGACAGGCATGTTTGTAACGGAAGAAGCAATGGCAGTTAACTGGAGTGTCGGTAATTGGGAGGCTGGCTGATAAGAGTTCTCTCTAATTCAGGCCTTTTAACCCACACTCTGAGCTATGCTCACACTAATTTGTATTGACAGGACCAAATGCATGGCATCGAAAGGTTCCCAGAGTTGCTCTTCCCTGCCACACACGCACAGACTCACTCATGCCCACACACGCACACCATCCTCTGTGCAGAGGGACATTGGACGGGCTGGCTGGTCATCTGGGCCAAGTGGTTCAGGGCATGGCAGAGAGAGACTGAGAATTGGCTTTTTAAGGTGAGCGAGGTATTTCCATCTCAAAGGTAGTGGAAGGAGGTGAAGGGGTGACCAAGGCTCCTGTCCTCACTGAGCATCTCCAGGGCATCCTCCACAGACGCCAGAGGCCCGTGTGTTAATAAACAAAGCCCCCTTCTCACACTTGCCAAGTCCATACTGATGTGAGCCCATTTCATGAAGTCATTTCTCCCACAGCACATACCAATTTCTAATTAACCCCCAGAGCTGACACCCTCCCGGATGACTGTGGTGGGGGCCTGGGCTGATTGATTAGGGTTCTATATCCAGGCAATAAATTTGGGGATCAAATTGGTTTTAAATTAACTTCTAAAAATGTTCGTGTTTACCATCTGGTTTGGGTCATGGGCAAGGCTCGGGCCCGGGAGAGCAGAAGGCAACGACTGAGCCGCTATTCGGGGATTTATCTGCAGCGTTTCCTTCTCTGAAATGACCTTCCTTCCCTCCCTGGGAGGGGGGTTGCCGAGCAGACCTTTAATTTAATGTCTGTGCATCTGGCACTGCTCCGTGACGTGCGCACCTCTATGTGGCCTGCTTCTCAATCACTTTTCCAGCCTGTGACAGTTACCCAGGCAATGGGAAGGGAAGGGACGGTGACCCTTGAGCTCTGCCCAGGGAGATGTGAAGCTTTCAACCCTCCTGATGTCCCCCCTGGAACGATGAAGTGGGGGCCCTCCTCCTTCAGGATTAAGACTGGAGCAGCATAGGCTGTCAGTTGCAGAAAAGGGAATGGTTTTGATGTCACTTAACCAGAACCTTAAGGTTGACATCCTAACCAGGAGAACTCTGGCTGGTTCCTTCTCTGCCTCACAGATCTGGGTTTCCAGAAAGGCAGAGGAGAGCAGATGAGCTTGGGGTCTGCCTTGTCCTTCATGCCCAGCCTTTGGGATGCTGACAAACAGTCGCTCCCAGGGACCAGAGCTCTCCTATTGGCTTGGCTACTGGAGTATCTAGTATGCATCACGCACTCAATATATGCTGCATGGTGGGAGGGTAGTCCAAGACTCAAACAGCACTTGATAAAGACAGCCAAGCTTCTTCCTCCACCTACTTGTTTGCACTTTGCTGTTTTGTTGCTTTTTGAGACAGGGTCTCACTCTGTAGCTGCCTGGCTTCAAACTCATGGCAATCCCCCTGCCTCTGTCTCCAAAGTGCCCAGATCTACTAAGCTAAACTTGACTTCCAGAAGATATTCACTGAGTACTCGAGTCAGAAGTTTGTAACCCAGAGTCCTAACCCCACTTTTACCTCCAATAATAACTTGGTTAGTGATCTTCCATCAGAAATGATCAGTGAGCCAGCCACCAGGTGTGACCCCGTCCTACCTCAGTGTCACAGATACTGGGAACATTGTGCTTTTCACTGCTTGGCTATGCGAATGAAGAAAAAATTCCTGCTCTCGGCCCGATGGGGGGGTGGGTCTCAGGCACTGAGAAGGTCACCAGTGCCACCCCAGTATGGTGTTGGGACAGTATGCTGGCCACAGCTTTCTTTACAATGGAGGTTGTGTGGTTTTGGGGTCTCACAGAGGGATGGTGCTCTGTAGCTAGAGTCTTCCTCATCCAGGGGACAGCCCATGGGTCAACTGGGTACATGTTGGAAGTAAGGACCCGAGGCTTTGCCCTGGACCTGCACTCTAACAGAGGCCGAGGCTCTAACCCAGAGTCCTAACCTCACCTTCATTTCAACTAAGCATTTATCAGTGAGTTACTATCCATAGGCCCAACCCCACCTTTGTTCACTGTTCCGTATTCCTGATGCAGGTGGCACAAGCAGCCTTGTGTACATCAGTGTGTGTGCATAGGTATCAGTGGTTTGTTTCCTGGTCCCTAGAGAGGTCCCCTTGAGCTCCCGAGGGATGGCCCAGTCCCAGCAGAACGCTCTAGTGCATGCACCACGCCAGGCTTTAAACAGTACCGGACCCCATGTGGGGTGGTGCCACAGCCCTGCCCTGATGAAAGGTCTAGCACCCAAGTGAGGTGGCAGACAGGTTCCCTAACAGCAGTGTGTACAGAGTATCAGGAGATGTGTAGAGCGTACCAGGTGAGCTGAGAACTGAGGAGGAAGAAACCTGCCCAAGCCATTGTTCCCTGAAGCGGCATGTGTGGGGTCCTGCAGGGACCTTGAGGATCAAATGCAGATCAGTTGAAAAGGACCAGGCTGGGGAGGGTGAACCAGGCTTCCCTCTGCAAAATGCCTGCCAACCTGTGCCAATGTCCGGAGGCCAGCTTACCAGAGGAGAGAAGAGTAGGGTAGATGGACCCTGGTGGGGATCAGATCCCATAGGACTTGCTAGGCTGAGTACCAGAACACACCCCCACCCCCAGGGCCCCAGACTCACCAGGACACTCTGCAGTGGGCTCTGGTAGCCAGTGGGCCTATAGTGTTGCCTCTCTGCCCAGTCGGTATGGACATCCCCCAGGAACAACTCCTCAACCAGCTGGGGGGCCACCCCGGCCTGCGGCTGCAGGCGACGCTGTAGGCGCAGCAGACTGAGTTCATGCATATTGAAGCCCAGCGCTGCCATGCAGTCACCCTGCACTTGGGGACTCAGCAGCTCATACAGTGTCCCTGGCTGCCAGGCCCGAGCTGGGGGCAGCCGTCCTGCGCAATTCTGACCAGCCCGGGTCCGGTTGAGGCGCCTGGCGATGTCCGTCAGGGCATGGTGGCCATGGAAGATGATGCCCACCTTGTGCAGATGGTAATCGGCTTCAGTGGCGCCCCGGGTGACCCAGGAGGCCCGGCGCAGGCGGATTTTGCCCTTGATGAGAAGGGAGTGGATGGGTTCCCGGCAAGAGGGGTCTCCGTAGTAGAACTGGTAGGCTCGGAAGAGGCGGCTGGGATGGAAGGTGTAGGAGCGGGTGAGGAACTCTGGTCCGGGGCGCACCTCGCAGCTGCTGGGGAGGAGACAGTTGTTGGACAGGGAAACGAAAACCTACCTGGGCGTTTCCCGTCCCTCTGGCCTGGGCTCCCACCTCCTCAGCCTCCTCTGCTCAGGCCTGGGCCCTCAGCCTCAGTTTCCCCAGCTGGGGACCTTCTATTCAGTGTCTGGTGACCTTCACAAAAGCTCCCTAACGCTAGTTCAAACCTCCCAGTCCTGACGGGAGCTTCGCCACCATCTGTCACCTGGTGCACTCTCAGCCCCCACGGAGCCCTGGCCCCCTCCGCACTGGGTTCCAGGGCCCCCTCATTCCTTCCTTGGGTTCTGCAGAGAGGAGTAGGTAGAGGAAGAACAGCGTGGTAAGGGATATTTCAGTGCCTCCCCTTTGATGAGCTGTCTGTTCTCCCTTGGTTTATTCATAGCGAGCTGTTTCTATAAAGGAAACAAAGTCAGAAGACACATATTTTGGGGCTTGTGGGCCATAAAGGCCTTGTCATAGTCACTTAAGATTGCCGTTAGTGTGCTAAAACAACCATAGATGATATGTAAATGACTGTGTCCAAACAGGGCTGGGAAGATAGCTAAGTGGGTAAAGTGCTTGCCACACAAGCATGAGGACTCAGGCTCCATCCCCAGCACCCACATAATTGGTGAAAACTTAGCACTGGGGAGGTGGAGTCAGGAGGATCCCCGGGCCTCAGAAAATGAGGTGGAGAGCCATTGAGGAAGATACCCAACACCCTCAGAGTCCAGGCTCTAGTAGTATAAACAAGTCCAGGGGGTGGACAGGAAGGGAAGGGGCTCCTGGGGCCACAGCCATGGCCAAGACTGTTACATTCCCCCACTCTGAGAGCTCATAGTGGTAGATGCTGCAGGGAAGTCCCTTATGGCTTCATCCCCTGGTGGCCACCTGGACTGCCATCTCAATATAGATTTCACACTCAAGAGTGTTTTCAGCTAATCAAAAAACAGCTCCCATTTCTTTTCTTTCAGGCTTTTTGTTAAATGGGAAGGAGAAAGCCACGACCGCCCAGAGCAAACTAGTCTTTGAGCTCAGCCTCCTTTTCTCCCAGAGAGAGCAGATCAGGAGCCCGAGGTGGCGCTGAATCCAGAGAGAACCCAATTATGTGGTTTTGTCTTACTGAATCTCTTCCCAGTTACTTTTTATTTATGGTGAGTGGTTCTGGTCTCTGCATCTCAGGCAATATTAGGGATCCTTTAAGAACAATTACATTGTTATATATGTGTGCTGCTTACTGTGTGGCAATTATACCTCAATAAGGCTGTAAAAAATGCACAAATATGTTTAAGTAAATAAAACTAAGTTGGTCTAAAGAAAAATAGTAAGTGACTAACAAACCAGGCCAGTTACAATGAGAAAGGACACCTGCACACCCAAGGACCTCAGCCTGGGCCTGCAGCCTGGGGAGACTTGCCCAAGGCTTGTAAGAAATCATCTCTCAGCTCAGAACTCCTGACCCTTTTCCACACGCCTCTCAGAAAGTCCTGTCTGGAGAGGGCAGTGGGAACTTTCTAGGAAGAAAGTTCTAAAAGTTTCTTAGCATGGCCCCAGAGTGCTGTCGCTGGGGGAGGAGCAGCGTGATCCAGTGTTCCCTCTCTGTGTACCCAGGTTCTGACTCCATGACCCTGCTGGGGGTTTCCTGGGTCCCACTTGGATTGTAGGGGGTGGTGCTGCAGCCCCAGAGCCTGGGAAAGTGCTAGAAACACTTTGAGACCTTGAACCACCCCCTCCACCACCCAAACCACTAGCAGATGTTTGGCAAGTGATTTTCTCCATGTGCTCTGGAGACACGTGGGGGACATACAGAGTTCAGTCCTTGATCCCAGAATGGAATGGGCTGACAGGGAGACCCTGGTGGGGGGGGGGGCTTGGAGCAGAGGAAACTAGAGCTCCCCTTCATCTCTCCACTCTGGGAGGAAGGGCCATCTGCTGGCTGCCACAGCTGAGGGCCACAGAGAAGCCACTGGCTTCTGAGATGCAGGTTGTGTCTGTCAGGTGAGAATTGGTTGGGACCCTCATGTTCTCTCTGGCCTGCCACTTCCTGCCCCAGGGCCTTTGCACCAGCTGTGTCCTCTGCTCTCAGGATAAGATATCTCTTAACCATATGTCACCATTTCCAAGAATCATCCAGGACATGAGCTGTCATGCTGTTGATTTTTGCTTCACAGCACAGCTCAGTCCCATGCCAAATCTACACTACGTACTCCTGGGCACTACCCTATTCATGCACCAGCTCACCAGAGGGAAACATGAATGTCTGTGTACTGAGTTTCCATGTGTGAATCACTCCACTTGACCTGGGTGGCTGGGTGTAATGCCTGACATTTCTCTGCCCCAGGTGTCAACTGCTGAGGGGAGGCAGCGAGCCTTGAGTTTGGCAGGAATTCTCTGGAAACTGGGAGCACTGTGCCCACTTCACAGGTATAGATGTCAAGGCTCGGAGAGAGCAGTCTCCCAGCCCAGGGGCACATGATTGGGGACCTGGGGGTTCCTACCCAGTGGAGGTCCAGAGTCCATTGAGGTGTGGGGGCAGGACTGCAGTGCTGGACACGCTATTGGGCACCGGCTGCTGGCATCGGGGCTCCCAGTGGAGGCGGCTGCTCCCTGCAGCCCCAGCTGCTTCAGTGGCGTGGGCTGCAAAGGAGACAGACCCTGGTCAGTGATCCACAGGCTCCATGTACACTGCCCCATGTGCTCTGCCCACCTCAGGGAGCCAGGCTGGCAGCCTAGTTCACATGGGCCCCAGGGTATCCAGCTACTTGCTACCTGCCTGGGGTCTGCAGCAGGACTCCACGTCCCCTTTAGCTGTCTGTGGGGCACAAACAGTGCCTAATACATAGCCAGTGCTCAGTCAGTGTTCAGCGAGTGCATGGTAAGTGCCCAGAGCCTGATCTGGAGGCCAGCCATGCAGGCCACATCCCGAGCCTATCCCCCTTCCCTACGCCCAGGCAGGAGTTGGCGTCACAGGGAAGGAGATGGTCCAAGGATGAGCTGAGCACCAGGGTCCTTTTGGGTGACCCCCGGATAGGCTGGCTCAGGGCATGGGACTGCTCCCCGTGGCTTCTAGGCTCTGCTCCAAATTGAGCACCAAGACCTTCAGCTGCTAAGGAGAAATTCCCTCAGAAACTGTCATCCCCACTCAGGAGGACCCTGACACAGCCCAGATGGCAGGATGCTGGGGAGGCTCCGTGCGAGGAGTGTCCACGTTTTACAGCAGCAGCTGTCCTCACAGTGGTCCCTGACCCCGGCAGCTGGCCACCACGGCAGGCTTGCCAACTGAGCCCTTCCCACTGAGCCTGGAGCGGAAATGGGTCAGGAGTGGCTTTGAGAGCTTTGGTCAGCCAGGGTCTCTAGGGATGTCGTGGGTGGAATGTAGCAGCTCTCCCACGGCATGTTCCGCATGCTCAAAGGAGGCCAGGGCAACTCCACACTTCCCTACACTTGTCCCCCAAACTCTCTCTACCCAAACAATCTCAGGAAAACGAGGGGACAAATTCCTTGGCTCCCTGGGGTCGGGGGACACAGCCAGAGTCCCTAGGGTCCCTGGGACTAGCTGAGAAGGCTGAGATGCAGCTGATTATAATGGCAACAGTGTAATTAGCCAAGTGAAGGACTAGGTAGTTTTCTGTTTGTTTTTGAGACAAGGTCTCACTATGAGACCTTGGCTGTCCTGGACCTTGCTATATAGACCATGCCGGCTTCAAACTCACAGAGATTCACCTGCCTCTGCCTTCTGAGTACTGGGATTAAAGGCATGTGCCACCATGCCCAGTGGTCTAGGTAGTTTTACAGCACCTCCTGTGATCTTTGTAGCAACCCCAGGAGTCTAGTGTGGCTTTGTGGCTCAGTGCCGTGGAGTTAGTGATGCTCGATATAGAAAACCAGAACTGGAGCCCGCCCAGGTGTCAGACTCAAGCCTGGCAGATGGACCATTGCTCATCTGCTCCAGCAAGTGCGAAAGAGGCTGATTTGGAGACGCAGAATACAAGACACTCAGCACACACGTGTCAAATGAATGGAGAGTGACAGAGTAAAGATTCCATGTGGCCCTGGGTCCCACTGGGTTCCTGGTCAATGAAGCAGTTCACTTCAGCCAAGTAGGAGAACAAAATCCAAACCGCTAACTAGGGCAAGGTGTCTTCACATGGACACACTGTCACCTGCAGGGCAAAGCTGGCATGGATGGAAGTCTTCCAAGACAGAAGAGGGGGTGTTCTGCATTAACCTGGTACAAGGTCAACGTGCCAGACGAAGGGACCTGAGCCAGGACATTATGGTGAGTGCATGGGCAGCCGCACCGCATCCAGGAGTCCTGAACTGAGATGGACCTGTGTCTGCTGTCAGCACTGGGCCCATTCTGGACCTGCCTCTGCTGTCAGCACTGAGCCACCATCATGGTCGCGGAAGCTGCTGGATTCTCTGGATTCAATTCTGTAGGTTAATTTGAACATCACCGGTGTCAATGAAGCCTGTCGCAAAGTGTTGATTTGGTGAATGGACGGAAGCAAAGTGAAGAAAAGGATCAGGAGGGGTCAGACTTATTTGCCTGGTTGGGAAATCAAGCTTACATTTCAGAGCGAAATAGTGCACGGGCCCCAAACATCACGGCACCGTCGTTTGCACGCATCTCTGGTTCTTGAAGAAATGTTCTCTGTCGGGAAGAAAGCCAGTGTTTCATTTCCTACACCCCTCCCTGAAGACACCGCGAAGAGGTGGCCCGAGATGTCCAGCTCTGTCATGAAGGCTCAGATGTTACATTCCCCCTAAGTGTTCTGTTTTCATTTATCTTGTTTTTCTGTGAGAAATTAGGATTTAATTATGTTAGGGGAATGTGAGATGCGGTCAGACCTCTTTGTCTTCAGAACACACGTGTGGATGCATGCACACATGCAACACAAATGGAACCTTCTCGAAGACAGGACCAGAGCCCAGCCACGCCCCAATGTCAAGGTTCCAAGAAACAACTGAACCAGTTGGAAACGGTCTCACGGTGCGTGCTCACTCACAGGTTTGGGACAGACCTTGGTTTTCTTTTCTTTCTTCTCCCCAAAGGAAAGTCTTAATGAGATGAACCACTGTCGGCAGATGGGGCCATGACTAGGTCACGCAGTTCTTTGAGGGACCTGAATGCAGGGACCAAATTGATTTTTATAAACCATGGGTTTTTAATTAACAGTGGTGTCCACTTACTGCCATTCAGTGTTTACTGTTTACCCACTAATTAGAAATTATGCTGCTTTTGCACTCATGAGAGCGGGGACATTTGAAATCACATAGCAGCGTTCAAATTACCTACAGAATTAAATCTAGAGTACCCAATGGCTCAGACCAGGCTCCCAGAGCTGAAAATATGATCTGCTGTGGTCTGATATGTTAGCAGGAGTTGGAACACCAGGGACAGGACACTTGCACAAACACCATATGGAGCCTGTGGCCTTGAGGAGAATGGATGCTTGCTGAGCGTTAGGCTCCAGAGCCTACCGCAGTGCCTTGGGAGTCCCCCGAGTCAGGGGCTAGATCTGTGTCATGCTGTGACACACCACAGCCCTGGATGATGCAGTGTCCTCCGCCATTGCTGAGGGCTACAAAGTATGGTTCCCACAGCCACCTGACTCAGGCTATCCATGTCCTCACTCTAGTTGAGAGAACAGGCTCAGCAGAGGGACTGGTCTTATTCCTCAGGATGCTGGTGCCTAAAGCAAGTTTCTTCTTGTTTGCTTCTTCGTTTGTTTGTGGTACTGGAGACCAAACTCAGTGCCAACTCACATGTGCCAGGCAATGTCTCCATCCCTGAGCTACATCCCCAGCCCGTTTTGTGGGGTTTATTTATTTTTCTGAGATAAGGTCTTGTTATGAAGCCCTAGGCTGGCCTGGAACACAAAATCGTCACTGTTGTC